AGTTAGAAGAACATGTAATAAAATATTATTGTAATATAACTTGGAGCCCCAAAAGCGTAAGGCGCCGCGGCAGATCGAGGAAGCGATGGCGTGACTTACTGGACGCCTACGATAAGGCTTGGGTCCAGTTAGCTCAAGATCGGGATGCGTGGAAAGATCAGGGGGAGGCCTTTTCCCAGCAGCAGTGGGATATAATAGGTTAATTTTAATTGTAACATAACTTGAAACGTGTGTTTCGGTTTAACGAATTGCACGAGGAAAATTGGTAAGTATCCACTCCATGATCAAGGACGATGAAAAGGATATTTATTGTTCGAGTACTTTCCTTACCAAGAAATGAGAAAGTTACACATTTGAAAATAAGTCGACATTTTTAGGAATTTCAAAACTCGGATTTTCAATTTAAGGAAAACACAATTAATGTATGTGTCATAGTCACGATGTTGCCTTGAACTGTGGCTCTGAAAACCAATAAGGTGTTTTCGGCAAACCACGAATCTGTCACACAAAAATTTTATATATTATATAAAAAAATAATAACTTGGTGAGGATTTGTGGATTTTATATGGAAATGCGTGGAATTAACCCGTTTTAAACTACACCAGTGCTTCATTGTACCGTATGATATGATAACCTTATTCCGGCGATACATTTTACTTTACTAGTCAAATTATATTATAGTGACGCTGAGACAAGGCGACCACCGAACAGTCTCGGCGCTTGTTGTTCCCGCTACACATAGCACTTTACGTAGAGTTTAATTTAAATCTTAAGTGTCAAGCTTGACTTGCTCTTGACTGAATACCTTCTATTGTAGGCTCAATTTACATTGCGGCGGATTCGCCTCGCTGCGTGACAAGGTGCGCGCGGTCTTTGTGAAATTCTCGCGACGACGTGATATTTGGCATGTATCTAGTCTGTACGTTACACAATTGACCATAAAGTCATTCGTTTAAATTCGCTTCCATTCCGTTTCGTCGCAATATAAATTGAGCCTAAAGTAGTCGAGTGAGATAATATATCATTTGAATGAATATTTACAAATCCATGAACTGCCGATGCAAGAGACGTGTGAAAAAAATCGATTTGACAAATTTTTCAGCTTGTAACAAAAGTTGCTTGTTTTTTGTGTTTGTTGTGTTGAGATCAATGCTCTTATTTTACTGTTGAATTGTATGTACTCGTTACTTTAAAAATAACCTTGACATTAGGTCAGCAATGAAAACTAAAAACTGATTATTTTCATAAATGACAATAGGTTTATTAAAATAACCTATCATATCATATTTAAGTACTTTTCTCTAACACCTACGTGTTCATATAGATATATAATAATAATATTGTAAATTTTTGCATGTCAGAAATGGCGCAACACTCTTGTACTTATGAGATCAAGTATTATGCACTTTTACCATCACCAATACCGTGTTTGCTTGCAAATAAACCATTTTCATTTCATAAATCATTTTTTAACTTGACTGTACCCAATGATCTTACATAGAAAAAAAAAATACTGCACAACATTCTGCGTAGGTGTAGGCGCACTTAACTCGTTATATCGCTGTAGTGAGAATCGTCGCTGAGTACTGGGAAGGAAGATGGCAAAAAGAACTCGTTATTAATAAAAAAAAGAGGTATGATGTGTTACAGGTATGACGAGTGTGTGTGTTACAGTAACGGCAAAACCAGGATAAGGTATTAGTCATTTGATAACGGCTAAAATTAAAAAACAAAAATCATTGTAGCAAATTTTATTGAAGTATTAAAATTAATCAACGACTACAACTGGAAATCTATAGGTATTTGTCCATTTTCCAAAGCTTTCACAGCGTGTTCAAAAGCCCGAGCGGCTTGTGGTCCTTCGAAAGGATTTAAAGGTTTATCATCTTTGATTACTCCAGACACCCGTAACATTAAATCTCTCATGAGTTGTTTTTCTTGTTTTAGAACCTCTTCATTCATCACGTAAACAGATCTTCTTTTCAGGAACACGCCGTGTTTTTTGAAACAGTGCCTATTGAAATCGTGCTTGTAGCTGTAAGGTTGCGAGCAGATCTGGAAAGGTATTATTTTTAAATTTATGGCATCTTCAAATTAAACGCTTGTGTGGCGCTTAAGCGGGGCCTAATGCTAATTTTCATACAATATTTAGAAACGCAGTTGCAGCGTCAATGTCATGATGCGCGCGTCACTTTTGTGGTCACAAGTGACTACTAAAAATTACTGAAGCGCCAAGCCGCGCGGCTGCCGCGACACGGTCGCGCCACTTAGCGCTTCTACAAGCGTCTAATTTGAAAGCTTCGTAAGTGTTTCTAGTACACTAAGTCACAGGATAAACCATCAAAACTGAAATTTATTCAAACGGCTTTGTATTATCGTTGAGAATTGCATACAATATGTGCAGGCACGGTGTGACCTATTATAGTATGGAAAAATTCATTTTTCGATATTGTTAATTAAAACAGTGTGAATTACGTAATTAATTTCCGACGGAACGGGATTTTGAAAGTCCTATTGCAAATGTATGTATTGAAGGCGAAACGTTGTATGGGTTTCTTTTTGCTTACAGAGCGTAACAGAACGGTATTAAATTTCAGTTCGTGATCGTACTCATGTCAATAAGAACTCCAATATTTTGATTATGATATGCAAGTGATCATGCATACATATATTTTTATTTTTATGCCTACTAAATGACGGGACTAACATATCATTGGTCTAGTGGCAGGCGACACGCCTGTCCATAACAGTTGCTGTGCCGCTCAGACCTTTAAAACGCAAAGATCTGAGGGGCACTGCCACTTCGCCCGTCACCCTGAGCTATAAGTTGACAAATCCCATGTGCCTGCAATTTCACCAGCACCCTTACCCTTCAAAACCAGACCGCAGTAATATTAATATTACTGCTTGGCGGCAGAAATAGGTAAGATGGCAATGTATGTATGTGATATTATATACTTTTTTCTTAAAAAAAAGTTGTTGAGTTTTTTTTCACCATGTATATAAGCTACGACTCGCTCGTGATCATTGTATTACGGATGAGGATTAAAAAAAATGCTTACCTCACTCAATTCTAAATATTTCTTTCAACCGCAAAGTGCGGTTTTCTATAAATAGTGACGGTCAGCATCCGGTAAAACTTACCGCATATTACGTGTGAGTTGTGACAATAATCTAGTAGGTATTTGAAATATGACTAGTCAGGTAGAAAAAAATCATGTGGTAAGTTCCAGACAAAAAAAACTAAAATTAATCGGTCTTGCGTTTTTAAACTTACAAGGGTGATTTACTGTTCATCCTGAAATAAATTAATTCCGGCTGCACCATTCTGTAATTTCGAGGGTCACGGCACCTAAATTAAATCTGATTACATTGAAAAAGTCGTGGTTTAGTTGGTTCTAGGCGTTGACAAACTAGATTAAGTCGGTTCTTCTCGGTAACACCCTTATAATATAAGGGTGTTTTATTATTCACGTTGAAATAAGTTTAATCCGGAAGCACAATTTTTCAATTTCGAGAACCACAGGTGTTAGTTTAGATTTTCGTGAAATAGGTGGTTCTAATTATGTTGCTCCTTAGTTCAGCAGATATCGGAAATAAAATAATTTATTTCTTTCTTTACACTATCATAAAAAAAATCACAAAAATCTTACACGTAATGAAGCATGTGTGTCGTAGGAAGGTCACGCACCGTTCCAGTTGCTCTTCATAGCTGTTCAATTGTTGTTGACTTCGTATTTGTGGGGATTACAATAATTTTCAACATTTATATTGCTTATTGTTAAATAGTATAATATTATATATAATAATATTAATATAAATATTCATTCATTCATTACTACAATAATAATTATTTATTTTATATTATTTAATTATTTATTAATAAAATGCTTACTGACAAGTGAGTTCGATATTGAGTCTTACATTTATTATTATTCAATCAATTCTGAACTCGGGTACGCCAGGAGCCCAACCCGACATACATACACTAATAAATATCATGTAGCGATGAAACGACTTGTATTTGTTTCAACTCGAGTTACTCGAGTGGAATTGACTGCAATTTCTAGTTAACTCGACTCGGTGTTCGACAGAGCAACCGCGAGTCGCGAGTAGAACTCGAACCGACGATTCAGCGAGTTGGACACGATCGGCCGGCCAACCGCGACTCGAGCGTGACCGAAGGTCACCGAACCGACCGAGCTAGCTCGAGTTCACAAAGTGTAGCTCGAGTTGACTCGTTGTGGGAGTAACTCGAGTTAAATAACTCGACTCGCCCATCGCTCGCGATCGAGCGTGCTCTGAAAGTCACTGACGCGCAGTATGAATGAAGTATTCGGTTCGGCGGCGAGCGGGTCAACCGAGTTAGCTCGAGTTGATGAAAAAGTAACACGAGTTGACTCGTTATAGGAGTAACTCGAGTTAACCGAGTTAAATAACTCGATTCGCCCATCGCTAATATCATGTCAGTCGCTAAATTCTACATTAATAAAAATGGGCGTAAGTTATTTTCCTACTCCGCAACCCCTTATTTCGGGTTTACACAAATTAATTTCCTTCAATTTTATTAATGTAGTATTTAGAGACGGACATGATATTTATTAGTCATTTATCAGAATTTACTTCCATTTATATTAATATAGATTTCCGCAAAGTAACGCCTGAACAAAAATAAAAGTGACAGTATATTTATTGCTAATTTGTTTATATTGAAAACTGTAGCAGGTAGACTTATAAATACAACATATTTATTTCCAGATATGCAGCAGAACTCTATTTTGTAAGCAGTAGAGCTCCTTGTGAAAGAGTTCGTCTAGAGAAGTACTGCCACATTACCTATTTCTGCCGCCAAGCAGTAATGTTAGCATTGCTGTGTTCCGGTTTTGAAGGGTAAGAGTGCTGGTGAAATTACAGGCACATCGGACTTGTCAACTTGTGTCTCATGGTGATAGGCGTAGTAGCAGTGCCCCTTAGGTCTTGGCGATTTGAATCTCTGAGTGGCACTGCAACTGTTATGGACAGGCGTGTAGCTTGTTCCTCCCGTCTCTTGATATTATAAAAAAATCCATGAGAGTTAATAAATCAGTCGTATGTCATCAGCTGTTTGATTTGAACCCTTACATTACTACAAAAATTAAAATTAAAAAAATTAACAAAGGCTGTACGATATGCAAAATAAGGGCTCATTTACACCACGTCGATAGGCAAATGCCGCTTGCCCGCCTAAAGGCGGCAAGCTACCCGACGACGTAAATACTGAGTCGTCTGACGACCGTAATTCGCAGCCTAAGTCGACCGAAGAGATAAGGCGTAAATGTTAAATGTTAATGGTGTAAATGTTATGGGCGACACGTTCGCCCCGTCGGCCTTTCACGGCCGTGCCCCACGACAGAGTAGCCAATTTGTGGGGAATTCACTAAACTGCAGGGATAGGAATAACGCGAAGATGTGGCGAAAAACCATGACCGATTAAAAATAAATTAATAAATATTATTAGCTGTTTTTTTTTATTAAAACTTGATTTTTTTCGAGATATTTGTATGGAGAATTTTTGGTTAATAAGGACTTTCTCAGCGAAGGTGATAGACGATTCGATGTAAACGGCGATTTGATGAAGCGGTGGCGAAGTAGTCTGTCGAAGGCAGACGACGCGGTATAAATGCACCATAAGGGTAATCCGACTAAGCTTGGGGCTTTGGAGACTGAAGAATGATGACGCCGAAATAAGCATGATAATGGACGGACTGACAATTTTTTTTTTTGTAGCTAGATCCAACCAAAGAATTTTTATCTGAGTAGACCAATTTCAAATATACGATTATTCAGGTCAGATTATGGTCACGCTGGAATAAAGCCCTTCGGTACAATCGGTCTACTTTCCCGATCCATCCACTATCGCTATTCGACTACTTTCCCGATATGTCCACTTGTTATGGCCGATTCGTCGATTTCAAAGTAAACAATATTAACCATCGTACTTACTTCGCAGTTAAAGGGTCTTTCCCCGGTATGTACTCGCATGTGGTGTCGCATGTTATACTTCGTATTGAACGACATGTTGCACTGCTCACACTTTATTTTCTTCGCTGAGTGGATCAGAAGATGCCTACGCAAAGCTCCTCTCTGTGTCAAATTTTTTTAACAAATAAATAATGGTATGTACGTTAAGCAAATTTTGGTATCAACTATCAACAGTCACTGTAGATTTTTATGGTTATAAATTTTAGCTGTCAATTTGTGGAAAGATTAATTTAAACGGCAACATGGTCAATAGTTTAATAATTCGAAACTCTTCAGTCTAAGAACGACGCCACACGGGAGCTGCCGGTGCGTTGCGACTACGACGCCTCTTATCTACGCACCGCAGCATCCCTCCCAACTTCGTCTCTTCTCTCCTCTCCTCGGCCTCTTGGCCGATGCGCACGCGTTCCGTCGCCGCGCATCGTGGTAGCACGTAGTTCTAATTCATATGCAGCAGCGTCACCGTTCTGGCGTCGCAACGCCGGCGCAACGCATAGTGTGGCATCGCTCTTACGCGTAATTCCTTCCTATAATAATTAGCAATAATTGGAAGAATCAGCTGCGGTTGGTCGGTCTATTGTCTCCAAAGTCTAGAAGTATTTATTTTGGATGCTTCATGTTCTTTACAGCTAGCCTCATGGTCTGTCAGCCGTGACCATGAGACCCATTAAGATCCCAAAACGATGTTTGAAAAAACAAATATACGCAATCAAATTCCGAATAAATAGTTTCATTTCTCAGCGAAAAGCAAGTAAGTACTCGATAATTATTATTGTTAAAAGTAAACAACAATCCCAATTTATTGTATATATAACGTACCCTTTTAAATGCTTTACTACAAACGTCGCACACATGCTTCTTTTCTTGAGAATGTGTGAGCATATGACTGGAAAAAAGAAAACTGTTTTAGAATGTGTTCAGATTTAGGATGCATATTTAGAAAACATTATATCACGATATAATAAGACAAGTAGTGTAACTTCATACAAATGAAGCTGCATGTGTGCACACCGCGCTCCTCACATTCGCATAATCTCGCGGTGCACCCGCGTCGCATACGTGGCAGGACCCCCTCTCACGTGACATTCATTATAGAATTGAAGCGTTATTATTGCTCGGTGTTTAAAAATGACATTAAATAGACGTGTTTATTATTGAGTTTACGGTAGGTCGAACAAAAGTGCCTCACGTTTACAATCGTTCAGCATTTCACTTTCATTTTATAATCATAGTTATCGTGATGCCAATCCGCGAAGCTGGTATAAAAATATCAATACGTAAATAATGCATTTAAAAAACGCTATTTCAATATAGCACGTATATTATGACGAACACCTTATTTTTTTAAATTATGTTTGCAACCTGTAAATATAACTAATACAATAACGTGACAATCCTATGCCCCGAGTAATAATGTAACAACCTTACGCTCCAAGGGAAGAGTAGGCACTGCCGCGCCGAAGAGGCCGGATTTGCGCTTATGATAATGTCGAAAATAAGTATTCAGTCTTTCTGAACTTGAGAAACAATAATAATAACAATCCACACTACACCCACAGGGAGATTTAAACTGTGGGGCAGATAAATATACCTACGTATGGTTTTACAACGAAATACTTATTTTGCATTACTTTTATAATTTACCTTTTCAGAGAAACATTTTCGTGGAATTCAGCTGTACATTGGTCACACTTGTAGTTTTTTGTTGCAGAGTGTTTAACTAAATGCTTTTGTAAAGCACTGTTGGTAAAAAAAGCTTTCTCACACCTATCGCATTTGAACTTCTTTTCTCCTAAAAAAAATTTGATATAAAATAAAGTACACTTTTACATACTGAACATTTAAAAATATTATTATTAAATGTTCAGTATATAGACGCTAACTACCGTCCTATATCACTGGCCACAGTTGTTGCAAAAGTTTTGGACGGTCTGCTGGACAATGAATTAGACAAATATTTAGATCTGCACGACGCTCAGTTTGGGTTTAGGCCTGGGCTTTCCACAGAAAGTGCCATACTGTGTCTTAAGCAGACCGTCCAATATTACACAAAAAGGCAGACGCAGGTGTACGCCTGTTTTCTTGATCTCTCAAAGGCATTTGACCTCGTGGTTTATGATGTTCTTTGAGGTAAGCTCGAGAAAGCGGGCGTACCTCGGAATCTGATAGAAATTTTGAAATGTTGGTACATGAACCAACAAAATAATGT